AAGAGGTGTTCTGGTTCAGACACTTGGGTATTTCTTTTCTTTTAAGAAGACAAGTTACCAGCTGCCTGAGGGAAGTGAGCTACCTGGGCTTCTGGAAACCTGAGTGGCCAGCAGAACAGGCCTGCCTTGGAGCTCTCAGAGCATATGCCCCAATGGTGCTCATGGGTCCAGAACATCAATTCTGCTCGCCTATACCTCACCAGGTGACAGGAAGTCTCAGAACATGAAGGGCAACAATTAGGAGCTAGGCTGTGCAGTTAAATGACTGGTGGGATTAAGTGTTAACTCTGCTTATGGAGATAGGGTAAATGATGGAACTTCTGTTATGACTCCCTCCTATTCAAACTTGGAGCTAATGACAGACACCACACCCATCAGCTGTGCTTGCTGTGAGGGCCACAAGATAGATAAGGACAGGTATGTGTACAAAGTTCACCTTGACAAAGGCGCCTGACAAACCCTCTGGAAGGCGGGGATCACACCCAACCATGCATGGGAAAACTGAGACCACGACCTAGGGACCCACATCCTCCCAGCATCTCTGAGAACTCCGTTATTTTCTGATGAGGAGCTACAGTTGTTGTCCCTACCCCTTGGGAAGACAGAAGAGACTGGAGGTACCTTGAGGATGGAGTTGTCCTGGCAGGTGTTCTTGGTGTCATACCCCTCCAACAGACAGCAGCGCACGGTGGAGCCTGAGCCTGCAAACTCAGCCAGGTTCAAGTCAGTGAAACCCAGCTGGGAGGGGAAAAGAAAACATGGGAGGCTGCAGAGAGTGTGGGTGCTACAGATGCACCAGAGGGGTTAACTTGGGAGGGCGGAGGGGAGGACAGGCTCACCCCACAGCCCCAACAGGCTCACCACCCCACAGCCCCAATTGGCTGTTTCATAACCAGGACTCAAGGACAGGGTCCTGGGTCAGCAGCACCAATGTAACAAAGCAAGGAGCTCACATCCCTGAGTGGCACAAAGCACCCTTTGTATGGAGTCCCAGGGTGCACTAGGGCCAGTGTGCCTGAGACGAAAGGACATTGTTGTTTGTAACACAGACACATTGTTCCCCAGGGAACAAGGCCATGCTGTCAGGAGCTCACAGAAGAGCAGGCAGAGGAGAAGGGAAGGCCCGTGGGAACTTGAGGTAGGGTGAGGTGATACAACACTACAGAGTGGGCGGGACCCCCGGGGGAGGGAAGAGCAAAGAGTCTGACATATGGACATGAGCCCTTCCTCTGTCCTGGTGCTCAGGCTCGTGGGGAGGACTTTCCTCCAACCAGTCTGCACGTATTCCTCTTGAGATGTGTACAGATGAGAGACAGATGGGCAGCACAGACGAGCAGGGCCACAGGGATGAATCGGATGGAATCCAAGTTTGTCTGAATGGAGGAACTGAGGCTGAAGTTGAGAGGATGCCAGGCTTGGGGGTCACCATGACGGCAAACTAACTGGGACATTTACTGTACACCAGTTACATAGAGGTCTCTACTACAGTGTTTAGGGGCACAGGCTTCAGAATCCGAATGACTCAGAGGGACCCCATTTTCCTCTTTTGCATCATGGATAAAGCCCATGGTGAGGCCCTGCTACGGAGCAGCAGGGACAGGTGTGCTGCTTCTGATGTGGGCTGAAGGCTCCTTGGCTGTACACTGGCGGTCCTCACACGCCGACACTTGTACCTTGTCAGCCCCTCCATTGCTGGGCCAGGGCAGGCACACAGAGCTGTGGGCTTCTGGAGCTCTAGCAGTGGGGACGTCAGAGCCCATGCTACCTTGATCCCAGGTACTCCCACAGGGTAAGAGATAGGACAAGGGAAGACGCAGTCCCGCCCATGCTGGGCTGGCCAGGAGTACCCCAGAGAAGAGAGATGGAGGGCAGAGCATGCTCATTCAAAGCTAGGTCATAGTCCCCAATTCTTCCCATAGGAAAGGTTTTACTCCTAGGACTGAAGCCAGGAGGGGGAGTAGGGGTTAGGGCGGAAGGTAAACACAGCTCTACAACAGCAGTGAATGGCTGAATCTATATCACTGCTGCCATTAGGAAGAACACAGAAAGCTGAGGTGACCTGAAAAGATGTGCATGCTAGCCTGGGTAAGGAAGAGGCTCAAGCTGCACACTCTTTACATCAGTCTGAACAAAGGCTGCTTACAAGCAAGCACACGTGCACACAGCGCCCCCTTCCCGTTTCTCTAAGTCATATGCACGCCTACTCAGTTTTGTATGTGCATCTCTTTTCCTTAGAAAATTGTAGCGCGCAGACACACACACACACACACACACACACACACACACACACACACACACACACACAAAAGCTGGCTGTGGTTGCACACTGCACACCCCTTTAGTTCCAGCAATTAGGAAGCAGAGGCTGGGTGATCTCTGCTAAGCTCTTTTTTTTGTTTGTTTGTTTTTTGTTTTTTGAGACAGGGTTTCTCTGTGTACCTTTGGAGCCTGTCTTGGAACTCACTGTAGACCAGACTGGCCTCGAACTCACAGAGATCCGCCTGCTTCTGTCTCCCAAGTGCTGCGATTAAAGGTGGGCACCACCACCGCCCGGCTCTGATAAGTTCTTAACCAGCTCCTAGCCCAACCAGTGAAGTCCCAGGAAAGGGAAGAAGGAAGGGAGTGGTGTGAAGCAAGGCCCTCCCTCTTACCTTGGAATAAGCCTTCCCGCCTTTCAGCTCCTGCAGAGACAGAGACACAGAGGGCTTGACTAGGAAATCCTGGCCTCTCGGAGAGCTCCCCAAAGCACCATGAAAACAACACAGAGGGCAGGGGAACAGGCCACATTTCCCCTTGCAGTAGACATGACAGAAAAGGGGCCTAAAACCGCAGGTGGTCAGTCCCACACCCACCCTCAGCTCTGGCTCAGCCACACGAACCCACCTCACCTTGCGCACCGACACTCGAAAGATGCAGGGGTCCAGCAGGCCTGTGGCGGGGTTGGCACTCATCTTACACACAAAGGTGAACCTCTTCCGCCACCGTACACAATTCTCCTGCACCTCCTCCCTTCAGACAGGAGAGATGAACATGGGGCAAGTGAACATGAGCTTAATGTGGAGCATCAACCCCCACTCCAGTCCTATCAGGGACAGGGCAAGGCCCCACTGCCGAGTGTTTTCATAAGACTATGATAACATAATTGTACAAACACACGAAAAGCATGAAACGAAAAACAATCAGCTGGGCAGTGGTGGCGCTCGTCTTGTGAGTTTGAGGTCAACCTGGTCTACAGAGCACGGTTCAAGACAGCCAGGGCAATACAGAGAAACCCTATCTTGACACCCCCCACCCGCTCACCCGCCCTCAATAAAAGAAAAACAAAGAATCAAAGAACACCCACGGGTGAGGAAAGGCTGAAGTAGCCAGCCTTTCAGGGCCACTGCCTGCTGAGCCTCTACTCCTAGCACCATGACCCTGGCTGCTCCTCCACTGCCACTATCACAGCCCCTGCCAGGCTCCTGCTAGACACCTTATGTGACCCTCACTTCAGTCTTCCCATTTACAGATAAGAGGTCAAAGCTCTCACCTCAGTTTGCTGCGTCCACAGCTGGGTTCAGCCAGATTCCTCTAGTGACAACAATAAACATAAAAGCCAATGCTGTATGCTGCTTCCCAGGTGCCAGTCACCATCAAATTACAAAGCCAGGAGTCGCCAGGCGGTGGTGGCACTTGCTTTTAATCCCAGCACTCGGGAGGCAGAGGCAGGTGGATCTCTGTGAGTTTGAGAACAGCCTGGTCTACAAGACATAGTTCCAGGACAGCCTTCAAAGCCACAGAGAAACCCTGTCTCAAAAAATAAAGACAAAACAAACAAACAAACAATAAAGCCAGGAGTCACCACAGCCTGCTCAGAGGGCTAGAGAAAGCCTGTGAGCCACTATCTACAAAGAATCTGACAGTAACAACCCATCTTCTGAAGGAGGTGGCTGTTATTTGATGGGAACTCTGGGGGCAGCTTATCTATACCTCAACCAACTTCTGTGGTGAGCTCAGCAAGATCTAGGGTGGTAGCAGCGCACAGCCCTCCCTCACACCCTGGTAGAACTGGTGCTCAGGCAGGGGCATCCCCGGGAAGGAGGCAGTGTGGGACGGCACCCCCACTCAGTGCGTCCCACCTAACTGGATGGGCAGTCACACAGCTGAGAAGTCACCTCCCCACACCCTGAGTGACCAGGAACAAGGGTTACCCTGCCAGTTTGAGGCTTTGAAGTGAGGGCTGCACTCAGGCCCCTCCTGCTTTTCATGGCAGCCTGGGCAGCTGTGGATCTGTGTCACCCCTTTGAATAGTTGGTGACACTGGGGCTCCAGCAGGCTGGAATCCAGGCTGTCTACCTTCAGAGTAGAACAGAAAACAAAATGCATAGCCAATCTGATAAATAGGAACATGGAAAGCAGGACAGGTGTCTAGAGATGAGTCTCCCAGCAGTGATTCCTCAGCAAAGCTTAGAGTGGAGAGAGGTAGGGCAAGCAGCAGTACAAAGGCCCTGTGAGGACAGACTTGGTGAATGGAAACACCGAGGAGGATAGCCAGTGCGGAGGGAGACCAGTGAGCATCAGCTTGAGTGTCTGAAGCTGTTCGTGGCTGCCTTGCCCACATGGATGTGCTAAGAGGAAGCAGAGAGCACACACGGGCAGGGAGTAGAAAGGCAGAGAAAATCACTCTTGAGCAACTGAGGCCTAAGCTTGAAAGGGAACAGAACTGGGAACCACTCTGTGAGGACCCCAGTCCCCACCTCCACCCCTCCTAAGAACAGAAGCAGCTGCTGGAGACCTGCAGAAGCAGGAAGGATGGGACTTGAAACGCCCAGGGGAATTAGCATTAGAGCCTGGGAACAAAGGCTGATAACAAACTGCCCACCCCTCTTTTGAGACTGTTATGGGCATACCAGCTAGGAAGCCTGAGGCTCAATTGTGGTTCCCATCAGTCCTGCCAGACCAGGCCAGAGCAAATCACATGAAGCTCTCCCAGGCTCAGGTGACAGGCTTATTCCCTCCTACAGGAAGGTGAGCAGGGCAGAGTTCCTTATTTGATCAGCCTTGAGCCACCCTCCTGTTCCCATACGGACTCCAAACCAATCAGTATCGCATGCCACCACCTCTGGGGAAAAGCAGCAGCAACAGGCAGCCTTTCCAGACCCCCACCCCCAAGGAGTTACAGCAAGGCTGCAATAAACACCAGTAGTGGTCACTTGAGCACCTGCTGTAACCCCATCCCACGATTCAACACAGAGGGGGGCTGTTTCTCTGTCCATTTTTTGTAGGAAAATGAAAAGAAGTTCAGAAATGCTTGCACAGCTCACCCAAGTTCTAGAGGTACACTCTCAGGCCCAGACCCAAGTCCCTATTGAGGAACAGGGAGGTTCCAGGCAGAGCAGGCATGAGATGGACAAGAACTCAGGCCCACAGGAAGGACTGAGGCTGTCAAAAGGGCAGCCGTGAGTCATTAACTAAAGCACCCACGATGTGCTAGGACCCATCAACTAAAGCACCCACAATGTGCTTTAGTTAATAATATCCTGAATAGTTAATAATGTCCTGAATAGAGAAATGAGCAGAACACAAAGCAGACAGAAATTCCTGCTTTTGAGGGGCTGCTACTTGGACAGCGGTAAGAGACACAGCAAACCCAGGCAAAGCATGTCCTAGTGTTAAAAGGGATGGGAGGAGGCAGACAGTGGACAGTCAAGGGAGACAGTTGTGAGGGAGAGGTGGCCAGGGGAGGTCTTAACAAGAAAGTAACCTCAAACCAAAGCAGCCCTGAGGCAGGGAGTGAGTCACACAGACAAGACGCTGAAGCAGAAACAACAAAGACCCCGAGGCCAATGTGTGTACTGAGGAACAAAACCACAGAGAGGTGGACTCCAAAACAGGTAGGGGGAGAGAGGGAGTCTTGGCCCCAAATTACAAAGGGATCATGTGGGGTGCTAAGATAGGGTGAGCTGGTAAGGCCACGTTAAGCAAAAATAGAAACAAAAACTCCAATGTGAAACCGCTTAGTGGCATTAAGTAGGAAACTGGTAGAAAGGTAAGCTCTTGGGAGGCAGAGGAAGGCGATCTGGGCTCTGAGTTCAAGGTCAGCCTGGTCTACAGAGCTAGTTTCAGGACAGCCAGGGCTACATGGAGAAAAGAAAAGGGGGAAGGAGAGCAGGGCTTAGTGGCTCACACCTTTAGTCCCAGCACTCCTGCCTGGGACAGCAGGAGATGGATCGGGCTACATAATGAGAGCCTGTCTCAAAAAAAGGAAAGAGAGAAGGGAGGGATGGAGGGCAGAACAGCAGGAAAAGCCAGATACACGAGGGCTTCTACAATCACCTCTGATGGTTTCAAAAGGACACATGGGAGATGGTGTGCATAGAAAAATCCAGGTGCCCATGACATCGTATGGCAAATGAAGGCCACCGTTAGGCACTTGAGTGTCTGCAAACTACAGATGAGGATGGAACACAGGACCTTAGGAATGCTAGATAAGCAAGGGTTCTCCTACTGACACACTAAGTCTCCTTCCCTTTCTTTTTTCTCTTGCATTTTTGGTGGTACTGGGAATTGAACCTAAGGCTTTGCACATGTAACTAACTGTTAACATTGGTTGAAAATTTTCACAATGCCTGCCTGGGTAAAGGGAGCTAACTCCTCTGAATCCTAGCGTATAGAGAATCATCAGAAGCAGAAAAGCCACTCTAGGGAACAGCAGAAACCCCTCTAACCAGAGTATCAAGGATGCTGAAACTGAGCACCACCTTATACCATTTGCAACCTCAATGGACGGGGAGGTGCTAGGAAGGCAGCGGCTGGGCCTGCAAGGGCACCACAGGCTCATGCATAGCAGTGCCTAATATATACCCCATCCCTCAGGCGCACAGTGGGCCAGCCATGGAAATCAAGACAGTGTGAAAAGACAAATTATACTTAAGATGTAAATAGTGTATATCCCACTCTCTCCCCTGAAAACATGGCTCAGGATGCAGCCAGACAACAGCAAGTGTAAAATCACAAGAATTTAGCGTGCTTAGACCCAGATAACTAACTAAATAAATGGCAAAAACCAAGGCTCAGAGATCACCCCAGCCCAAAAAGGACCAGAACCCTGGACTGCTAGCTCCCTGGACATCTGGCTTATTCATACTGATATGAAAGGACAATGGCCAGAAGTTTCGTCAAGTCTGTTAGGTTTCGAGAAGCCAGGTGGTGGTGGCACACAGCTTTAATCCCAGCACTTGGGAGGCAGAGGCAGAGGCAGGTGGATCTCTGTGAGTTCAAGGCCAACCTGGTCTACAGAACTGGTTCAAGACAGGGTTCCAGAACAGCCAAGGCTGCTACAGAGTGAAACCGTCTCGAAAAAACAGGGAAGGAGGGAAGGAAGGAAGGATTTAACTTTAAAGGAAAGGGAAATTAAGCTAGGATGGGTGGTTATAATAAGCAAAGGGATTTGAGCCACAAGTATCTGATTCATAGCCAGGGCCCACCCCTACCACCCTGAGGCACTGCCAAGTGGGGGCATGCTGAGTCAGTGTGGACAATGTGCTATCGGGGTTGGAAGTCAGCTCTTCCAGTCTGGGGTTTCAGGGTGTGCATCCCTGCTTCCCGCTGCCGTTGCCACTGCCAGGGACAGGTAATTAAAGAGAAAAGTTTTGCTTTTAGATTTAAGAAACACACTTAGATGTGCAAATCCCAGTGAGGCAGGACAAGCCCTTTAACCACTGTGGCCTCTGTGGCACCACGCAGATATATTTGAACTGTCCTAAAATAGAGTAAGCATCCCACAAAACAGTGGTCTCAGATGCTTTGGACTTCCTGGATCTCTCCTGGCTCTAGGACTCTCCCAATCTGACTCCCTGACTGCCTCTGCCTACCCCAGGCCGCCATACAGTCGGACCTGTATCCAACTGTCAAGCAGACCTCTGTGAGGTCTCCACGGAGAGTGGCTGCAGGCACCAGCTCAGGCTGCAGACATGGAATGAACACTGTGGAGGGTCCTGAGCAGAGTGGGAAACATGTTACACAAGAAACAACTGGCAGCTGCCAGTGTCTCTAAAGGGCTACGAGAGCACTCTACAGAGGACAGATGTATGAGGGCAGTGATGGCAGAGTCAGCTGGGTAAAGATGAAAGAAAAGGAAGTCCCCAGCAATAGAATAACACAGAACAGCCTGAAAGGGAGGAGGCGGCGGGCCCACAGCATGAGGCTGTGGCAGTGACCCCCTTCTGTCTGCTCAGTTCAAGTGGGACATAAAGAAGTCCATCAACCTAGTGTCGACAGAGCCACATCTTCCTACCATCTGCCTTGCTGTGTCTTGGGATCAAGAAATGTGGCTGGCCACCATCAGAGTCCCACACTAACGTGGCCCACATCCGTTACCATGGCCTCTTTCCCTAAAGTCCAGGACCGAGCTGGCAGAGTGGGATCTCTACTCTGTGTGCTTCCTGGCCCCTCTACATCAATAAAGCATCCCCCATGTCTTAAGCTTATTCTGTGGGACTCATGGCTCGAGTACAGGACTGAAAGAACTCTCCCATAATCCTGAGGCCTGTGTAACTATCATCCCTGTTCTGCATGTGAAGAAGCTGAGGGCCAGGACGGAACAAACGCACAGGACACCAGCTCTCCCGGCCACGAGGCTCCCCAATCCACCATGCCATTTCAGTTGTTCCTGACCCCTGCAAAGAAGGAAGATATAAGCAGACACCATGGAGGAGGCAAAGGCCTCTTTGGCTCACAACAACCAAGACTACAAAGAGGCCCCAGAGGGCGGGGAACGTGGCAGGTTCTCTGACAGAAATGCAATGTCCCTATTGGGAGTCACCCCAGAGCCTGGCTTCATGGTTCCTAGCAAAGCGCTCACGGCAACAAATACTGTACCTAGCAGCGTCACTGCTTACAAGGTGCAGCAGGGTCCCAGAGCTTGGTGGCCCTGGGTCTCCACCACACAGGCGACAAGGGAGTGACTGCCATGGGAGCTCCCTCATAGCTGTAGGCTGCTAGGAACCCATGGGCCCAAGGGAACTCTCCCCAGAATTGGTGCTATGGGGGAAGCAGGACTAGCAGTTGCCATGGGAGAAAGAAACAAGAAAAAAGGAATCCCAGGGCGACTTAGGAACACCTACAACACTTCACTTTCCCAGACATTGTCATCAGGGGTCAGTTAAAAGGCTCACCAGGAAAGGACACTTGGTGTATAATCCTAGCAACCTGAGTTTTATCCCGACATACACGATGCATGCTCTCAAGCATGCACACACATGTGCAAACACACTCACACACACACACACACACACACACGTAAATGTAAATGCCCATAGGTACAGTTACCACCACCACTGGCATGCTCAGTATGGGGCACTGGACTGGCAGAGAGTTAGGTGCTCGTGTAAATCCTAGCTAAACAGGCATTTCCAGACACAAGTGAGCATACACATGTCTACTAGCCTGCAGGACCACTGGCTGTGCAGGATGAGGATTTTCTTTGTGGCACATTTAGCTGCACTCTGCCAATTAAGAGTTGAACAAACTCCAGGCATGACAAGCTGTCTTGAGACTAAACCAAATAAGCTCCAGCTGAGATGTACTACTAGGGGCCTTGGAAGCCATTCTTCACTCACTTACAGGTAACTCTGATCAGAGAGGTAAACACTTGACAGGACCCCAGGGACCTCCCAGCCCTCGCTGTGCTCCTTGGTCCTGGAGACTTAGTCCTCTGATTCAGCCCACAGGCACCAGAACAAGTTCCATCATCTGGCATCCACTCCTGCTAACCAGCCTGCCCCCCCTGACTTTAGCAACAGCCTGAACCCCCAGGCTTTCCCTGGTTCCTCAAGGGAATGAGTGGTCCTAGTAACGCAATCTATGTTCTGGGCTGCTGAGAGGCAGCCCTGGCCTAAGTGAGAGTCTAATAAGGAAACAATTTAAATCGACAACATCTGTCAGTGCTTTCCCAAAGAGAACGGCACAGCTGCCTGGGGAGGGGCCCACCCCAGGGACCAGCCAAGGCATTTGTCCAGGGGATGTAGGCCAGAAGGGCCAACGTGGCAGCCCAACCGTGTCTGGCTCCTGCTAAGAGTTCAGGGCCACGTGCAGGGGAAACAGTTCCCTACAGTTCAGCACGCCAGTCCCTCCTCCTGTGGTGAGGCAGCAAGGAGTTCCTAGAAGCCAAGCCACTTTGTGCACAACACTGGAGAGCTTGAAGAAGCCCCTCCTTGGGGCCGCATGCTGCCTTTTCCCCTGCTGGCAAGAACCCCAAAAATGGTTCAGGGGTTGACAAAAGGCTGGGAGCACAGGCTGACACTGGCAAGTGACCCACCAGGCACAATGTGGACAAGCTGTACTTCAGAAACCATGCAGCAGAAAGACGGCCGGCGTGAACAGGTGCTCCAGCTTGCTGGGTTAGGAGCATCAGGGTTAGACGCCTGGGTTTGAACCCTGGTATTCTTCAGGCAGGTAACGTGGGGGCTGACTACAAAAAGCCCAAGAGAGGTAGGTGCTGGCATCCTCTACTTACAGACACTGGTGTGTAGCTGTCCGGTCCTACCTTCTACTCCACAGTCAGGGTACGCAGGCAGCTCATGCTACCACCCAGGCAAACGCCTGTGAACCCGACTCTGAAATGGTGCCAACATTCACTATCTTTTGCTTTTTATTGTTGGTGCTAGGGTTGAAATCCAGAACTGAGCCAGGCAGTGGTGGCACACGCCTTTAATCCCAGCACTTGGGAGGCAGGCAGATCTCTGTGAGTTTAAGACCAGATTGATCTACAAGAGCTAGTTCTAGGACAGCCTCCAAAGCCACAGAGAAACCCTGTCTCAAAAAACCAAATTAAAAAAGAAAGAAAGAAATACAGCACTGTGTGCATGCTAGGCAAGAGCTCTACAATGGGTTGCATACTCAAACTCTTGTTAAAGGATCCATAGTAAACTACTGGCTTTAAACCAAATGCAGGTCCAGTCCCATGCACTAAACAAAGGTGCCCCCTGGCTCCTCTTCCCTGGATGTCCTCCTGTACACCAAGTACAAGTGCTTTTCACACGCTGTCTCCCTACTTTCATTTCACAGATCAGGGTACTAACTCTCAGGGAGTCCAGGGACTTGAGGCAGATCGTACAGGAATTGAGGGACAGCCTGTACCCCAAGCTCCAACCCTGCAGGATCCCTGGGAAATCTGCCAACACAGGAGAACCATTCCAGGGCTCAGTGACAGCATGACTGTCTATCATGCCAGAACCGTAGGCCCTGTGGCCTCATCCTTTACCACAAGTATTACACAGAAGGGAAGAGCTGGTATTGCAACTGGGCTCATACCAAAGGAGAGACAGTCACAGACTCCATAGTCCATCACTCCCATGTCACAGGCTAGGAGCCCAAGGCTCAAAAGTTCACCTGCCCAAGGTCTACTGACTAGAGGTTTGAGACCTGAACCCATGGCTGTCTGACTCTGGGTGCCCAACACTAATTTCCATGTAAAGGCTAAAACCAGAGGCCCTGGGAATCCAAAGCATGAAGACACAGTGGATGTTACACTGGGATGTGATACCAGCTTCCTCTCCTAAAAGGCAGACTATTAGCACACACTGAGCTGTGGAGCTGGATCTGCTCAGGGAACACCCCTTCCTGTACCCAGCAGACCCACTTGAGAGTCTCAGAGAAACAAAGATGGGTCCAATGAACACCAGGGCTCTTCAAGTCTCAGCCACCATCCTATCTCCTTTCTCATGGAGTTGCTGGCGCCTGGTCTAAACACCGCACACACCTCTGCAGGGAGGGATCTCAGAGGCAGGTGGTCCGGAGGCAGCAAAAACCAATGACCCAGCCTTCTCCCTTGCCCTGGACCTAGGCCTGAAACCCAGCTGTGATGTCCAGAGGTGTGGCAGGTGGCCAGGAATGTGTGACCAGTTCCTGGCTGACTCAGACCTGGGTGGTATTTGATTCACTCAGGGAGGAGGGAGTGAGAGGAAAGAGGGATTCCTGTCCCTGAGGCCTGGTTCCTGAAACGACTGGACAACAGTCATGGGGACACCTTCACCCAGGGTACCTCCTGTGCACACAGGACGGGGTCTACACATGGGGTAGGGATCAAGCAAGGCCTCTCCCACGGCCAAGCTCCCAGAGGGAGGAGGCTGGGTATCTGTATACTCACTGCTGTCTCTTGTCCTCAAAGACAGCGCTGAGGGTCTGACAGCTGAAGGAGAGATCTTTGTACTCTATTTCCATAGTCAAGTCTTCTCATTCTTCTTCCAGGTAGGGGCTTCCCAGATGTGGCTGCCCCTTGTTCTCTAGAGTCTGTGGGGCCAGGGACCATCATTACTGCATCTGCTGCAGAGGGGTTCCCGAACACAAAGCATTACCCATTACTCTGAACTTCTGAGGTGACAAGATAATCAGGAGTCATTTAGCCAGTCACCTTTCTTCACAGCCAGGCACTGACTCAGACCTGTTTTTCCAGCTGTCCTCAGCAGCTACCCAAGATTCCAACCACAGGACAGAGGGCTCAGGGTCAGACAGGACCATGAGGGCCTGACTCACAGGGCTCCACCCCCTCAGTGGACACCTGAGGCCCTGCAGACTTGAAGACCGATCCTGGGCCCCACACAACAAGAATAACCTTGTCCTTCTTGAACCACAGTGCCTCTGAACTCTATCTACTCAAGTGCCATCATGGGTCTTGCCTTGGGCCCTTTTGTTCAACAGTGTCATGTGATGGGTCCTTGTGTGATAATGGCTGTTACAGAGGATGCCTTCTGAAACCCAAAGTCCCAAGCAGTCCACCCGACTTGTGGCCCAGGCAGAGGTTAAGAGCACTGGCTGCAGCTGGGCGTTGGTGGCGCACGCCTTTAATCCCAGCACTCGGGAGGCAGAGGCAGGCGGATCTCTGTGAGTTCGAGGCCAGCCTGGTCTACAAGAGCTAGTTCCAGGACAGCCTCCAAAAGCCTCGGAGAAACCCTGCCTCAAAAAATCAAAAAAAAAAAAAAAAAAAAAAAAAAAAAGCACTGGCTGCTCTTCCAGAGGTTCTGAGTTCAATTCCCAGCACCCACAGGTAGCTCACAACTGTCTGTAATTAGATCTGGCACTCTCTTCCAGCCTGCAGGCATATATGCAGACAGAACACTATATACATAATAAATAAATAAAATCTTTAAAAAAAAAAAAAGAAAAGAAGGCTGTCTTACCTGTACCCATAATGGGCACAGCTAGCCTCACAACCAGATACAATTGTTTCCCGTTATCCTTTTAGCAAACACAGCCCCCATGAGAGCTGCTGAGCTCAGGGTACATCTCTTGAGACTTAGTGGAGCACATCAGTTAAAGACTCACCCCAAAGACAGTGTGAGAAGCCAGATGTAGTGATGCACACCATCTATCCCAGCACTTGAGAGATACAGACATGCAGGCGGCTCTCTGTGAGACCCAGGCCAGCCTGGTCTATATAATGAGTTCTAGGTCAGCCGGGGTTACATAGTGAGGCCCTGCCTCAAAGCCAACAAAAGGTGAGGGTTTGGGTTTGACGTAAGCTTAGTAGCAAAACCCCAACCCCTCTATGCTCCGCACTTCTCTGAGATGGGTAGACCTGATGGTCTCTTCCTGCTTATGGGCCTCAGGCAGAGACCACAAGTGTCACGGCCAGGGCAGTGGCTCAGCTCTAATCATACTTGTTCCAACAGGTGAACCTCAGGAAGAGAAAGGAGCAACAACTGGAGGAGAAAGAAGAAATATGACCCTTTCCTTGTATGCTTCCAGCCCCGGGTCCCCTCAAGGACTGCTCTGAATTGAAACTAGCCACATCAGTTTTCACTGAACATGTGCTCTGAGCCAGAAGCCACGGTGGGTAGTAACAGGTTCACCATGGCATCCAGGTACCATGGAAGAGTTCATTTACCCATCACAGGCAAAGTCCTGATACACAGTGGTCTGGTGGCAACCTCAGGAGCCACCAGCATTCAAAGTGCTAAACTCCGGAGCCTGGAAGCCCTCCCTGCTCTGCTGGGGCTGTGAGTGGCAGAAGGAAAATTCCCAGCCCAAGAAGACTGCCTGCAGTTGCCAAAATGAACCACTGCCTGTACACAAGAGCGATACTCTTCGGGTTGGAACGGTTCAGGTTGGCTTACCAGAAAGAGCCAGGAAAAATCCCAAAGATCAACTTCAGATTTCCATGCACCCTTGTGTCTGTCTTGAAAGCTTTGGTGCCCACCTAGAGCCCAGAGGTAATGGCATCAAGGCTCATTTCTGCAGCAGAGACATGCAGCTCACAAGTCCTCAGAGAGAACATACTCACCTAACAAAGCCTAGGCACAATTCTGGAGGCCTAAGAGGCCCTAAAGATATGGCTGGCCAACTCCACCAAACACAACCTCATCTTTTCCAAATCAGAACATTTTGAACTCTGCATAAGTATCATCATGGACCCTTGCCTTGGGCCTTCTGTCTATGTTTCCTGTTCACGGTGGCTGCTGCAGAGGATGGCTCCCGCTTTGAACTGGTCTGTGACAGTGACTAGGAAGATACCCTTCTTGGCTTAACACAATTGCCCTCCTGTAACTGGAAGCCCTAGGCTGTCTGCCTTACTACTGCTATCTTTGGTAATTCTAAAGAACAAGTCTGGGGCCTAGAGAGATGGCTCAGCAGTTAAGAGCACTGGGTGTTCTTCCAGAAGACTAGGGTTCAATCCCCAGTAGGCACATGGATATTGACAACAATCTGTAACTATAGTTTCAGTCTTTTGGCTTCCATGGGCACTGTGCACACATGGTGTACAGACTTAGATGAAGGCAAAACACTCATATACATAAAAATAGTAATGAACTAAGCAATAAATCAAATGCAAGTCTGAGCCAGGTGTGATGGCACATGCCTTTAATCCCAGCACTGGAGAGGCAGAGGCAGATGGATCTCTGTGAGTTCGAGGCTAGTCCAGTCTGTAAAGACAGGACAGCTGTTACACAGAGAAACCCTATCTTGAAAAACAACAATAACAACAAAACGCTACTCTTCTCCCACTACCAACCTCTAACCCTATCCACCCTAAACTCTCATCACTTCAAGAGCTGTTCAGCACTGTCTGAATTCATTTTCCACAGGTGGGATCCTACAGAGGTACAGACTGTATCCTCATGGTTCCAGACACATAAGGTGACCAGGAAACTATCATGGAACAACCCAGGGGAAGTATAAGACACAGGTGCTGCCTGTACACGTCTGCAGAGTCCAGCCCTGCAGACAGGAAGTGGTGGGAGAGGAAGGCACTTCACATGTAAATGGGACCCAGCTTCCGGTCCTCCTGATACAGTTGTGCACTTCCTCTCTTGGCAGGTTTAGCTGGTAGGAGATGCCAGGGCCTGGTCATGTGCTGATCAGGTAACCTTGATCTTGGGCAGTTCTCCTGCCCTCAAGTGAGTACCCTCTAGAAGAGGAAACAGTCTGCAAAAAGCAAGTCCTTGGCCACAGTCACAGAGTAATTCATCAGCTGCAAGATCCAATGGCAGTGCAGAAGCTTACTGTCTTCCTCCTAAGCCAGCACAATCGATATCCTCTGCAAGGGGTACACTCAGCTCAGCCAGTGGGCTCTTGGCTGCATCTCAACTGCAATCTTTAAGCCAGCTGCCCAGTATATGGGTAAGGGTTCCTCCTGACACAGACTGATACTTCGGGAACTGGGGGGTTGGGGAGGACAGGCTTGGGCTTAGCAGCTGGCAGTAGCTACCACATAGTCAACACCAACAACCACATTGGTTCAGAGCCAGGAGGGAGAAGTTCCAGCCTGGGACAGCGCCAACACACAGCAAGAGGCCCAAACACTAAAGATGCAATGGAGGCTTTTCTGGCCTTGAAGGGCCAGTCTGGGGAAGGAGCTAGACACAATGAATAGGGGCTGTAACACCTTGAAATGAGGGGCTACAACAGAAACAAGGCCAACAGGCCCTGGGAGACCTCCTCCCAGAAGTAGCCATTAGGCTGAGCAGTAGACTCATGAGGAAAAGCAGGGTAAGGAGGCTGAGGAAGAGCAGAGAAACCAGATAAACAAGGGGCAGGACGTCAGCCACTTAAAGACCTTGGGTTCTCTCATCCACCCCACCCTACCAGGAGGGTTACAGCTAGTGCCCTGCACCTCTCTGTGAGGGGCTATCTGCGTGTCTGCGAGGGCCCCTGAGCAGTGTTTCAGCAGAGCAGGGCTAAGTTGATGGGGAAGAGAAAGTACGTAGACCCTACTGCAAACCCCACTAGACCCTGAGCTCAAACACTAGGGTACTCCATACTGGCTCCGCCTCTGCTGAAGGCAAAGGAGCAAGTCTGAGCAATAGGCATCCTCTCTAGGGAGCATCACAGTGGTCCAGACCCCCAAGGGAGTGCCAGCTACTAGGAGGCATACCACTTGGCCCAGAGGGAACAGGACAGAGTATAACACAGTGTTCCCACTGTGGACCAGAAGCCAAGTTGGCATTCCAGCAAGCACTGTTACTACATCCTCCAGCCACAGCAGCCCTGTTTCAAGGCAGGCTCATGAAAGAGGCTAGCGGGTTAAGGCCCTTGTTGAAGCTATAGGCAGTGAATTGCAGGCTGGGGTATGGAGGAGGGGAAGGCAAAGTCAGTTCCTATTAGCAGCGCTTCTTCCAGACGCCCCTGAGACAAGGTGGCTGCTAGCCCAATCAACAGCTGGGCAGAATGGGGTAAAAGCAGTCTCAGGTCTATAATCAAGAGCTCTTCTAAGCCACGGGTACCAAGATACTCAACGCAAAAAGACCACAAGTTTGCAACCACAACCCTCTGATGACACTTAGGCTAGGTACAGGCTGGGAAGCTTTCAAACTACAAAAACACAGTCTGATCTTTGAGGAGCCAGCAGGCCCAGAGCACCTCTAGGACTCGGGGACAAGTCTAATGTCCCTATAATCCAAAGCACTCACCAGGAGAAGTAGATAAAGAGGAACTATATGCCCCCCATTCCACCTTAACTCTAGGTCTCTCCCTTTCTCACACTTGTCCTTGGCTCCCTTACGCCACATACCAAGTCCCTAGGTCCCTGAGATCTGGAGGCAGACCTACTAGCCAGCATCCGGATGCACGCACCGGCAGGGCCCCTTGAGAGCAAGTCAGGGTTTCCAGGTTCTGACAAAGCAGGGCTCCAAGTCACTCAGAGCCTCCCAGCCACGCCCAGGTAAACAGGGCCTACAGACAGGCAGTGTTACTGCTGCCAAGAAGCCCCAGCCAAGCAGGAGCTCCAAGCCAAGAGCAGGCCTTGGGGAGCAGGCCTTGGCTCCACACAGCCAGATCTCCCTCGGGTCAGGGCTACTACCAAGCTGCCAAGCCAAGGTGGCACATGCCAACAGTGTAGCCAGTTGGCAGCAAAGGCCTCAAACAGGCTGGAAAGCTTCTTACCAGCACTACCCGCAGCATGATCTGACTTCAGAGTCGGGTGACCTGCACAGAACCTAGCTGCCCAGCCACCCTTCCCTTTCCTCTGCCAGGGGGGTTTCTTACCATAGGCCCTCTGGCCCCTGTGCTTACATGGGAAAGGCCACCCGGAGGGCCTCAGGAACCCAGCTGACAATAAGAGACAGAGTAACCAGAACATGCCAAGCATCTAAGAGTATGCTGTGGGGGGAAGGAAGAGCCCTCAAAACCCAGGTAAGGAGGCAGTTACAAAGCCCCTTGTGTCGAATGCTACTTTGTAGCACTCTTGTCTGATTTCCCACTTAAAGTAAACTGAAAATCTGGACATAGGCGTTAGTTTCCAGGGCGCCTTTGCCCGGCCACTATGTCCTGGCACCCTCAAAGTATGGTGGATGCCTTTAGGATAAGGAACCTTCCTGCCCATTTTGCCCTTTACCCTCTCCAGTCTGTTCCCTCTTTTCTCTCTGCCTGCTACCCCTCTGCCAGACTAGGCCAAACTGCCCAGTCTTTACCAGCACCCAAAAGCCATCATCTTCATTGGTTAGATGATGTCACACTGTTCCCCTGCCCCTTGACTAGAAACAGTTCCAGTCAGGCCATCTTCCATCTTTATTTTCTCTAGCACCTTAACTCTTCCCACACCCCAATCCCACCTTGCCCAGACATGCCTTCAAACCAGGGGCTTCTCCACAGCTCTTCCCCATCTTCAGCCTGATCCCTCTCAGCTTCTGGGAGGCCTCTGAGTGTTGCTTCCCCGGGAAGCCCTCTCTGTGGTGATGGCATGCTTACCATGAGACAGTGAACTAGGGGCAAGGGTGAGAAGACTTGAGGGAAAACGAAGATGGACAGAGTCTGAACAAATATATCTTACCAACTGGTCTGCCAGGGCCCACTGGGATCCTCAAGGACCTGCCCCAGACTAGCCAGGCCTACTAGGCCTACAGCCACCACCGACCTAGGAGCTGACAACTCCCTAGTCCTGCTCACCTCTGGAAGCCAGCCAACAGGGAAGAAGAAAAGACCCGTGTCTGCTAGCTCCCTCCTACCTTTCCAATCTGTTCAGTCCACAGCACCCCTATTCCGAGCAGGACAATTCCTTACCCAGTTTAGGGGTTCTCCTGTATCTTCACAATGCTAGACAATCCTCAGGGTGGGTATCCATCTCCACTATACTTCCTCGGGGCCCCATACCAAGCTGTCCCAGAACAGGCCTTGCATGGCTGTGGATCCAGCAGCATTCTTCAGCTTTTTTCAATGAGGGAGGCTAAAAGGCAGGGCTGGAACCCAGGCCAAACTTGAGGCTTGGATGATGAACAAGCAAGCCTGTCTGCCGGCCCCAGAGCCAGGGTCTGGACCTTAGCACAAGGCCTCTGGATGCAGAGCTAACTCTTCCGAGGCCTTCCTTCATGTTCAGAGGATCCCAAAGGCACTCTGAGTGAGTACTCCTACATGATGGGCACGTGACTGTGCCCACAGAAGGCAGGCAGTGCCTGTGTGGTAAGCAGCCAGGCTCTATTTATAAAAATAAAACCCCGCTGAAGGCCCACTGAAGACTCAAAGCTGGCCCAGAAGAAAGGACAAGGAAGGAGGGCTCTTCAAGTCACAGTCAGCTCCTCAGACAGCCTGGCACCCAAGCATAGAGCAGGAGGTGGCCTTGCAAGGGATCTTTCTTCTCCTGGCTAACCCACCTTCTTAGTGGGCTGGCGCACAGGGGACAGAGGTAAGAACTAGACTATGTAGTCTGTCCACCCGTGTCAATTATTCCTCCTATGGAGTAGCCCCAGCAAGCCACTTTTCTGCCGCAGACCGCGATTCCCCTTGGCTAACAGACAGTATCTTTGTCTCCTCTCCCTTCGCCATCCTATAATGTAAGTCAGTGTTCCCTCACACTCCTCTCCCGACAGTCACCACATGGAGGTTTGGGATCCTCCTGACCTGTAGGCCACTTTGACACATTAGTGTCTGCCAGACTCGCCACACTTGGATGGGACCTCTGTATGCTCCTGGGTACCCTCCAAACCACACTTGGATTATCTTCCTGAGAGGTCCCAGGCAAGGACACATGGCAAATGCCCTCTGCTCCCCAGTGATTGCCTAAGCCTGATCACAAATACGTAGTGATTATTTTAACCTTATAGTCTTGGGGATTCTATGTTTATCTTGAGCTTCACAAAACCCAGTTCAGTGCCTCCAAACTGTCCAGCTCCAGATTCTGCCATATCACCCAACCCACTGAAAGAAGTCTTTGTGGGGTCTGAAATGTCACATGGGTCTGCTGTTGCTTCTAACTCACGCCACAAAGGCAAGGTAGGGCTCTGAATGGGAACCGCTGCAATCAAGGTCTATCTCTGCTACACAGACCCAGTCACCTCATCTTTCCTCACCTCAGGATCCTCGCCTACAAGCAGGGCTTATGGCCAGGTATCTGAATGGCTCAGCAAGCTCCTGGCATTGGCAAGTAAACAACTGAAGGAAGCCAGTATGAGAAAAGAACTCCTTACTGCCATTTACCACCTGGTAACCTCCAGCGCGGGCTTTTACCTCTCTGGTCTCTCCAGGTGGCTGGGGAGGGTTAATGGGGACACTCTGCACAAAACACTCAGCACTATTCCTGGCATAGTCTGGGCACTAAGAGCCTGGTTGCTGTGTGAACTGCTGCTTCCAAGGCCGTGCTGGAAGATGAGGCTAAGGAACAACCCAGGAGTCACCTGTTCCAACTGGGTCAGACGGAGTTGAGTACCAGTTGTTGCCATGGCACTCAACACACTGGAAAACACCAGCCAGGAAGGCGGGTGTTGCGGGGGTGGGGTCTAGGGCTGTTGTCAGCCTGACACCACCCATGCTGCCAACAGCCCATCAAGAGATCTAGATGTCCCTGGGGTTGGGAAGATGTGCTGCCACATCTAGGCCCAGGATCTAAGCAGGTCCAGTCACCTCGGTCCCTACCCCAACTTATAAACAACAGGGTCATAGTAGTGGAGGGGTGGTCCAGGCTCCTGGGCTACAGGATCAATGTGGGAGGGGTGTGGTAGAGGGAATACCAACCTAAGAACCCCTACCTCCTGGGTAAAAGCCCACAAAAGCCAAAGTCACTTCAAAGTGGCTCAGGTTCCAACATCACTGCTCTCTGCAGCTACAGCTGCAGGACCCAGGTATCCAGCATCTAAGTGCTCAGCCTTGGGCCTCAATGCCAGTTCCTCTTTAGCAACACAGACACACACACACACACAGACACAGACACACACACAGACACACAGACACACACACACAGACACACACACACAGACACACACACACAGACACACACAGACACACACACAGACACACACACACACACACACACACACACACACACACACACACACACACACACACGAGGCTTTATCCAGGATGGGAACTGGGAAAGGCTGCCTAGGCCCAGCTGGGCTCAGAGAATCTGTGGTCTTCTGCCAGGAGGAAGAAGGGGAAACAGAGGTGAAATCCAGAGCCATGTGTGCTAAGTCCCGGAACTTTCCAGACTTTCCAGGATGTGGGGGCAGGTCGGGGCAAGGGAAAAGCTGGCAGGTAGGGTCACAGTGGCTAGCTAAGGATCTAGGCAGACAGGTGGGAACTGCAGCATGCGCTTAGTACAAACTCCTTGGTGCTGTGCCCACCGCCCAGTTCACAAAGAGGACCTCTGCGGATTAAGAGATGCCGTCCAGTGTTCCCCCACCCCCTGGTCAATGACCTGGGGCTGGGGGAGCTGGGGCCTGGGCCCCTTACAATACAGCAGCTACTGTAGCAACTTCCCTGGTCAGACATGGTGCACGCTCCATCCCCCTCACAATGAAAGGGGGGCATTACTTCCCCATTTTACAAAAGAGGAAACTGAGGCTCAGAGGCACAAGGTAGCAGTTAAAGCCACTTTCTCTGAGTCTCTATTCTCACCCCTGTAAAATGCTCCCCAGAACCCCACCTCTGCTGCTTCACGGCACGGTCAAGAGGCTAAGAGGTGTTAGTAAAACGGCAGGCAGGCAGAGTACCAGGAACTGCTGGCTCTTGAGGTAAGGGGGTCAGGGAGACTGGGTAATTCACCCAAAGCCCGAAAGTGACTGACTCCAGGCCCATCTCTGAGCACAACCCTCTGACACTGTGCCGTCAGGCAAGGGCAGCTGTAGGGATGACAGGCATCACAGGCTGCAGACTGTAGCTACCCCCACCACAAAGGGCGCCCCTTGTCCAAATTCCTCAGATAAGCAGCTCCGGGCAGAACAGGAGCCCAGTGCATAGAACAGGCACTTCATGCCAGGCGGTGGTGGTGCACGATTTTAATCCCAGCACTCGGGAGGCAGAGGCAGGCGGATCTCTGTGAGTTCGAGCCGGGCTGGACCGATAGCCTACAATACAGAGAAACCCTGTCTCGTAAAAAAAAAAAAAAAAAAAAAAAAGAACAGGCACACAGGCACTTCACTCTATCCACACAAATTCCAAAATCTGAATCAGGTCACATAGCTTCTCTTCTCCCAGCAGATTCACCCAACAGGTCTCCTGACAGTTTGACAACTGTCTCATTCAAGGTCCCTGGCAACCATTTACTTCCTCTTTCTGGGGCCCATTATCCCAACCAGTAAAACACACCTCTGAGAGCTCAGAATAGTGAGACATCTCCAACTAACTAAGCCCACAAAGCCTAAGGAACAAAGGACAGACTAGGTAAGAGAAGGAGAGCATCCCAGGCCCAGGCTCAGGCGCTGTATTGTGGGCCTACCTACTGCAATTTTTCCCCCATAACTCTGATGGAGAAACCTGTGTGTCCACTGTGCACAAGAGGGAACAGGAAGCCAGAAGGAGTCAGAACTTGACTCCCCTTCCTCATCAGCTGGACTCCAAGGACCTCAGCAGGCTTGCTAGGACTGTGTGACCCTAGTGAGATCAATCTGCAAAGGGTGGACCAAGAACTCGGGTCTCATTCAGAAATAAGCTGGGAAACTGGACCTACCAGGATGGTGAGGGACACAAAACCAAGCTGGAGGTCTTTCACAGAGGAAGGCAGTCTTCTGGCAAGGACATTTGCAAGGCAAAGCAGCCCAGCTTCAGCCAGTGGAGGGCAGTCACTCAGAGGGGGTTGGGCAACCCAAAATCCAGGCACCACCCTCAATCAGATCCAGGGAGTGCCTGGAACTGGGTTTCCCGGGCGTGGGGAGAATGCCAGAAAACCTGTGGCTGGCCTAAGCTCTCAATCATATGACAGCCACAGGGGCCCGCTTGGTGGTAAGGTGGCCGAGGGCACCCTACTTACTCCCTCTCAAAGTGCAAATTTCATTCAGCCCTCTCCACGCAGGTTTGCAAAACGGATGACCTGGAGAATGCACGCAGGGCCCTAAAAAGTTTCTGGCTGGTAACCTGCTGATTAAGTGCCTGGCACAGTGCCAGCTCACTCGGCCCCAAGTACTGCCTGGAGCAAATCTTTCCCCAGACACGTATAACGCCCGGAAGTCCCTTGCCATCCCGACCTGAGGTTTCCACATTTACCAAGATCTCACTCACCATCGATCCTCGCCCCGACCCCCACACCCTCCCCTGCAAACGCAAAAGCCCCAAAGCCTACCTGGACGACAAACTGACAAAATCCCCGCCATCCAGCAGCCGGACTTTGCAAAAGAGGACCCCGTTCACGAAGGGGACCGCAGTCAGCTCCTCCAGGGTGAAAGTGGTTTGGAATTTGAATTTCTTCTTCTTCATCAAAAAAGCCATGAGCGAGTTCCCTGAGTCTTAAGCCCGCAGGGCCAAAAAAAAAAGAAGAGGGGATCCCAGAAATCCCCAGGATTCCTTTCCCTACACCACACCCCCCCTCCTCAAAAAACACCAGGGCCGGATCCAGTCCAGATGGCGGCGGAGGCTGCGGGGCGGGAGATCTGAGTCCGGAGCCCGGCGTCTGAGGGACCAGTCCTGTGGGCCGGCTACTCTCACCTTCGGGGGGCCCGGGCTCCACCGGCATGTAAACAGCGAGGCGCGGCCCCGGAGGCGGCGGCGGGGGCAAGTGTGGAGACCGGCTCGTGAGCAGGCAGCATCCCGAACCGCAGGGCCAGGCGGACCGGTGAGACTGCGACCGCCGGGCGAGCCGCGGGAGGCCCGGGCTGCGGCCCCGCCTCCGCCCTGCTGGCGGCTGGGGGAGGCGCCCAGCGGCACACACGCCTCCGCACCTGGCGCCCCGCGGCCTGCGCAGGTGAGGCCCCTAGAGACGGAAGCCACCTCAGCGACCGCCCGGGCTCCGCTGGGACCTCTCCGGGAGGCGCTGCCGGGCGGGGAACGTGGCCGGTCGGCCTCCGGCTCAGTCGTGGGACCTACGCCGCGCCTGCCCCGACCGAGCCTGAGGCGCCTTCCGATCCAGCCGGGTGGCTTCTGCCTCGTCCAACACCCCAGGATCACGGCGGCGCCGTCGCCCGCGTCTCCGGACGCAGCCGGCCGAGCCCGACGCAGCTCGGCACCGCTCGGAAAAAGCCGAAGCCCCGGCGCGGCCGCCCGCGGAGCAGCGGCCGAGCGCGGCAGGGGCGGGACGCTCGGGGCTCACAGCCCAGCTGCAATTGGACGGACCGACTTTACAAACGCGAATTTCTACTGGCTGGCGGTGGCGTGGGGCGGGGCTCGCGGAGGCAGAGCCGGTTTGGGGCGCTCGGATTGGTGCACTCGAGGATCTGGACCCGCCTCCTTGAGACCAGCCGGGGTGGGGGGGTCGCGGGGTTGGGGGCCGGCGCAGGCAGGAACGGGAGGAGAGCGCGCGCGAGGCCTAGAAAAGAAGAAACAATGACTTGGAGAAACCATCTGGAAACTAAGGCTGGAATGACCTGCCCGGGTCCCGCTAAGACCTGAGCTCGTTGAGCAGTAAAGCAGGCTGAGGAGGTAGCGAGCCCCCCATTTCTCAGGAAAACGACCCTCCTAGGGGTGGCCCAAGACCCTAGCAGGTCGTTCTTGCCTCTGAATGTGACAAGCGTCTGCCCTGGCGTTGCCGTTTGTGAGGATCCCTGGGAGCCCTGCAGCCTTGTGACCAGCTTGCCTCGTTCCAAGCTGTTATCTAAAGCTTTTGTTCTTCAGTTTCTAGGATAGTTAGGGTTAGATTCGGCTCTGGAGGCAGAGGACACTTTGGGGAGCCTCGTACTCTCCGAGCCATCCGGTCCACCGATGTGTAGGGGCTCTGCCCTGATTCAGACAGGCACCCAGTGGGAAGTCTGCTGGGCTTCTCTTCTACCCCTCCAAGCAGACTGGATCACAGGGGCTACAGTCAGTTGAAGAGCTCAAGTAGACATATCAGGGAGGTTAGAGGAGGCATTGGGCTTTGGTTTGGAAGGGTTCTGACACAAAGCAGTCCCAGCATCAGGATACAGATAGTGACAGCCACCGGAGGCTTGCTGGACAGGCAGTGTGGTACTCACAAAGTTTTGAGCACTCCCTGGACGAGTTCTCATTTGAGAGAAAGGAAGATCAGGCTAGAATCTGGCAGTCTTGTAGAGCAGAGTAAAGAGGGAGCCACCATCTGTGTTTTTGAGCGAGATAGTGACTTGCTTGTTCTGGCCTCAGGTAATGGGATTTGTTGTTTGGACAGGTGAATGAAGACTCCCATTTCTGACCTTGCATTTCAGTATCACGGGTGGCAATCTTGTCTCTCTTTATTGTCCCATAAAGTAGAAAACACAGATTGAAGAAAAATTAACCGATCCAGTGCTTTCTGATGTAGCTAAGCATCTCCTTTTACAGGTGGAGAAGTAGAGGCCTAAAGGCTTTGTCCTTTTAAAGTTTGGTTATAGCTGGGCAGTGGTGGTGGTGTGCACGCCTTTAATCACAGCACTTGTTAGGCAGAGGCAGGTAGATCTCTGTGGGTTTGAGGCCAGCCTGGTCTACAAAGTGAGTTCCAGGACAGCCAGGACTGTTACAAAGAGAAACCCTGTCTGGAAAAATAAAAATAAGTTACATTTTATGTTTGTGAATGGGCACGTGTGCACAGTGTCTATGGTGGTCGGAATACATTGTATGTTCTCTCCTTCCACCTTGTGGGTCTTAGAGATTGAACTCAGGTCATCAGACTTGGCAGCAGGCACCTGCTGAGTGGCTGAGTCTTCTTGCCAGTTCTGGCTTTGGTTTTTTTGGTTGGCTATTTGTTTGTTTGTTTTTTGGGGATTTTTGTTTTTGTTTTTGTTTTTTTGAGACAGGGTTTCTCTGTATTGTTTTGGAGGTTCTCTTGGAACTCGCTCTGTACACCAGGCTGACCTTGAACTCACAGAGATCCGCCTGCCTCTGCCTCCCGAGTGCTGGGATTAAAGGCATTCACCACCACCGCCCGGCCCTGTTTTTTGGTTCTTGGTTTTTTGGTTGATTTGTTGTTGTTGTTGTTTGTTTGTTGATATAGTATCCCCATGTTTTTAGCCCAGGTTGGCCTCAGACTGACTATAAGGCTAGAGATGATCTTCCTGCCTTTATTGGTTAAGTCCTTGGATTACAGGCTTGTACTTCCACACCAGACTTGGCCTAGAGGGTTTAAATTCTTTGGCTGGACTCCCAGCCACCCCCCCCCATGCCTGCTTCATAAGGGAAGAAAGAGCCTGTGGTTATCTGAGCCCCTAATGGGATGTCCAAATCAACCAAGGACGTCTGAAGGCCTAACTAGCTCCTTAGTTTCTACTGTGTTTAACCTTGGGCCACTCCATCAGGAAACAGTCAACTTTGCTATCAGGCTTGGCTCCACTCAGCTCTGTACAGTCTAAAGACTAGGAGTCCAGGACATGTCCTTTCTCACTTCCCAGATGGTACAAAAAGTGTGGTACTAGGACAGGATGCAAGATTTGGTGTGTGACAAACCCTAGCTAGAATCCTGGCTCTGCCGGGTGTTGGTGGCACACGCCTTTAATCCCAGCACTCGGGAGGCAGAGGCAGGCGGTTCTCTGTGAGTTCCAGACCAGCCTGGTCTATAGAGTGAGTTCCAGGACAGCCTCCAAGACAATACAGAGAAACCCTGTCTTGAAAAAAAAAAAAGAATCCTGGCTCTGAGCTGGATTGCACATACCTTTATCCTATCACTCGGGAGGCAGAGGCAGGTGGATCTCTGAGTTCCAGACCAGCCTGATCTACAGAGAGAGTCCTGAGACAGCCAGGCCTACACAGGGAAACCCTGTGTCGAAAACAAAGAATCCTAATGTGCTGTTACATTGGCATGGGGACTCAGTTTGTGACATTGAGCTTAGGATCTACAAATGGGGGGAAGGTGGTCTGTATATTGAAGGCTATGTGCTTTGGAGCCAACAGTACTTGACCAGATGAATAAGGAATCTAACTGATGCCAAGCAGGACCATTTCAGACAAACGGTCTTGGGGGAAAGCGCTAGAGAGATTGTCTGAGCTGGAGGTTCTGACTCAGGCCAAGGGATGCCTCTTAGAGGTGTCGTCTCAGCTGAGACTTTGGTAATTCAGGGAGCCCAGGCACATGACATGCTGGGGGCAGAGCACACGTTTGAATATGTAGGGGACTTTATATGACTGCAATGGAATAAAGAGGGTTAGAAAATGGTTGAAGCAGGAGGGGCACTAATTACAAGTGTAAACCCAAGGGGGACCCAGATACAGTGACACACTTTTGTCATCTCAGCACTCAGGAGCAAGAGCATTGGAGGTCACCCTGGTCTACGTAGCAAGCCCCAGGCTGAGCAGGGCCATGCAGCATGCCTTCAGTTAAGCTGACCTGGAGGGCTACAGGGCTCTTGATCAGATTTAATGAAGGTCAGAAAGGGCTCAGGCATGGGAAAGGAGTAGACAGGAATGAAGAAATTTATGTCACCACAGTCAGAACAGAAGGGCAACCAGAGGAAAGCAAGGCCACTGCAAAGAACCTTCACCTTCTGTGCTGGGGAGTGTCTTGTTAACTTGACACAAGCTAGAGTCTCTATCAAACTGGCCCATAGACAAGTCTGCGGGTCAGTTTCTTGAATGATGATTGATACGGGAGGGCCGAGCCCGCCGTGGGCAGTGTTTTCCGCGGGCAGGTGGCCTTGGGTTGTAGAAGGAAGCAGGCTGAGGAAGCCATGGGAAGCAAGCCAGTAGGCAGCATCCTCCGTGGTCTCCGCCCCAGGTTCCTATTCTGCTCAAGTTCCTGCCATGGCTTGCCTCTGCGGTGAAGTGCAAGCCAAATGAACCCTTTCCTCCCCAAACTGCTTCTGTTACAGTCTTTATTACAGCAATAGAAAGCAAACTAGGACGCCATCTCTGGCCGTGGGTACACTCTGTGGCCACCTTGCACCCCAGCACACACCTGTCTCCTGCTGCTGCTGCTGTTGACAGCTCCATGTCCCCATTATAGCAGGAGCTACACAAAGTCAAACACTTCACCCACAGGGTCCTTGTATCCGGTTCAAAGCCTGCCACATGATGCATGTTCCCAACTGTGACCAACTGTGTGTGTATGTGGGGATACCACATAGTGGTGGGTGCGCACACGCACAGATGTGTGGACAGCTGTGTGGCTGGTTGGATGAGTGACTATATTTCCAGTCCTCAAGATACCCATACAGAATGATGCTTCAGTGGGCAGACATACTCACTGTGGGAGCCTGATGACCTGAGTTTGATTTCCAGAGTCCACAGTGGAAGAAGACAAACTCCTGAAAGTTGCCCTCTGACCTCCACGAGTATGCCATGGCGTGCATGTTCCTCACGCCACACACACACACACACACACACACACTTATTCATTTTAATTCAA